ATGCTGGCTGGCAAGGTTTTTAAAATTTTCATCAATCTTGTTTTCTGTTTTCACGAAGCCTGCATCAGAAAATGACATCAGGCTGCAGAACACTCTGTATCTCTTGGTGTTACCAACAGGTCTGGGGACTATCTAATTTACTAATAAATCTATTGGAGCGACATGCATCTCAATATTTCACAGCTTAACAAGGAGGGGCAGCGGCAAGGCCCTGAATTGCAGTTCCGGACGATTAGCGCCGCAAAACCAATTGAAGCAGGACCATCTAAACTGTCACAACAGCTTACACACACCCACCTCCTGCAAGCCAGCATTTAAATCATTTACTGAGGCCCACATTTTTTCACAAAATGCTTCAACTGGACTCAGAAAAAGCCAAGAACTCCATTAAAAGTTTCCAGGATTAGGCCAGTGGCCCTCACATAAAGAGCTGTGCTGAAGTCAATAATGGAAATATCTCACCAGGGCTTTGCCAACTTCTTCCCAAGTGGCTCCAGATCCTGGCCATGGTGTCATCACATAAAGTGGAAGGACATGGACTGAGTGCCCTGCAGGGAATAGCTCAGGCAGCTCCTCACAGCAATAAAAAGCTCCCTATGAATCTTTCTTTTTTCCCCCCACTTTTAATAAACCCACTTAAACTCTTGACTTACATACTAAAATCCCTCATGGTTTCATTAAGAAGCTCTAAATGGCCCTGCTCTCCTTCACCCTCAAAAAAACCTTCATGCAAAAGTGGCATAGCCAACAGCAAAGTACCATGTACTAATTTTTTTTGTTTGGGTATTTCTGGGGGTTTTTGGTTCGTGGGGTATTTTGATCATTACTTTTGAGGCTTTTTTTGTTTGATTGGATTTTGTTTGTTTGTTTTTTAAGTTCCATACTACAACCAGAAGAGTTGTGATGCAGAGATATTTAGCTGTTGCACTGAGAATGGCCCTCAAGGAAGTGAGGGTTTTATGATGGCCTTGCTTGAATAAACACTTCAATCTTTAGGTGCCCTGCCAACACTTGTAAGATCAAAGAATGTCACTTTATGCCCTGACAAGTCACAATCCTTAGGAACAGACCTGACCATCTGTGCTGCAGTGTATGTCTGGCTGTGGGAGAATAGGCATATGAAAGAAAAAGCCTAAAGAATTTAGGATCTATTTAGGATACTATCATCAACCCCTTTTGCTCAATAGATGGGAACAGGAATAAGACATTTAGGATTTTCCAAGTGTTGTTATTGAAGAGCAGTATTTACATCCCAAAACCTTGTACCAGCCCAGAGACAGATAAATTCTCACACCACTCCAATCAAGTTAGGAAGTTCCAGCAATGGAGTTAATACTAAAACCCTCCCAAGCAGTAATAGTGAATCCTCAACAAGGAGTGAGTAATTGGAATTAAAACCCAAAGCCAGTGTTGTTACTATTTCCACTGCCAAACTCTTGACTTTCAGACTTTCTGATTTTTCAAGCCAAAAATTTTGTGTTATTTACATGAAAGCTCTGACATATGGTTTAAAAAGAGGAAAAAAAAAAGTGGCAAGATTTTCATTAGTGTAGTACACAGTTCAACTCGTTTTTAGACATTTTAAATTTAGGTCTAATTTATGACACCTCACACTAATTTCAGATGTGACGTTATTCCCAGTATGCTGCCTGTTGGACATAATTTTTATTTCCCCAGAGCCTGTCACCTCAGAGATGATCTAATCCTCCTGAAATCAGTGCAAATGAGTCCACTTGAAAGAAACATCCATGGTTTTCAAGCAGAGCTGGGTGGACCTCACCCTGTATCACATTCAGACACATGGATTTAGGGCAGGCATGTGGAACACGGGTGTTCAGCCAAGCTGGGGACTCAGCTGTGAAGGAAAAACACTGCTCAATATTTGGATCCTCTCACTGAGTGACCAGATCTAATGGGAAATAAATCTTTAGTGCCTTTGCACCAGGGGTGTGTAAGGACTGAGCTATGGGGATGGGGTGTGTACCTGAAACACCCAAAAGTCCCGAAAAACTGAGCGCTCCCCTGAGCCCTGTCACTCTGCTGCCTTCATTTCCCATGTGTGTCCAACCTCAGAACGTGGAGAAAAGCAAACCCAAGCACAGCCAAAGCAGCCCTGAGAAGCCTGCAGGCTTTCTGTGGGAGCTGTTTCCCAACTTCCCCGCATGTTTGCAACCAGGGGCGATGGGTGGGTGTGAGACTTCACAGTGTTGGACTCAGTGAGCTGCAGTTTAGACTGACAAGAAACAACATGTCTTTACTATTAATACTCAGAGCCCCACTGGAGAATTCAGTGTGACTGGGGCTTTTAGGCTGTTTTTAAAACATGCTCAACATCCTCTAATCTTTTTATACCACATGTATCAAATACAGTTATTAATTGAAGGACAGTTCAGTTATTTTCCAGGCGATGCTAAAGCTCCATTTACCTTCAGCCACAATTCAACAGCAACTTTAATCTGCAATGTAAGGCCCTGTAACTCATCCTCTGCTCAGCTCGGAGCGAGACCTTTCTCCTGCTGTCATTCTTGTACTTTGGAGCAGAACAGGACAGCTTACAGCTTTCTCAGCTGTTAGAATGATTCTGCAAATATGCTTTTCTTACAGGCTGAAGCAAATCTGACACTGGTCTCCTTCAAGGAATAATGAGCTGTGCATATCTAACACTGTGCTCAGAGAATGCCTGCCCTGGGAATTATCTGTAGGGTTTTTTCCTCCTGCCCTCAATAACAGTGGCAGTGTGCATGTTGAGTCATGCAGCAAGGTTGTACTCAATAATTAATATATAATCTACTTGCACAGAGATTGGCTATTCCGCTTTACTTGGGGTTTATTGGATTTTGATTAAGCTGGTTTTAAATTTTATACATGTCCTAATGAAAAGTTACAAGTGTCATCACTCCTAACACCCCGTAAGATTCAGGTAGCGACAAGTCAATGCAGTATCTTCCTCATCTGTGTTACCTTTAACAATCTGTTTCCAGCCTCTTGCTTGAATTCTTTATTACTCTTCAAAAATATGTCATTTTTCTGCAAGCATTTTCTGCATATTGCTTCAAGACCGTATTTTTGCCTGATTATTTTCTGTTACCAGACCAAAAATGTTTATTCATTTTTATGTAATGTATCACACAAGTTTCCTCCTCAGATCAAAGTTCAGAACAACCACATTAATCCAATTTTCTTTACAGACTCCAATGCCTTACAGCCAGTGCCTTCCTTCAACACATGCACACAGCCTTAATAACCCAGGATATCAAGGTGTCAATTTGAAAACCTCATTGGCTGACATTAATTCTAAAAATATATTCATTTCTGGCTTTCCATCTTGTCTCATCCTTCATTTTCTTTTATCCATTTTATCTTTCCTATTTGCCACATTCCAGGCAGACTCTGCATTCATGGTATCAAGCCTGTGAGCATTTTGGAGTGTTTTCTTTTCCATATGCCCATATTACCTTCTGCTTTGCATAGCACTTGTTATGCATGCATGATCACAGACTATTTCTAGCATTAATTAAGACATGAAATTAAAGTGGGAAAGTATGCTATTGGTCACATAATACAAACAACACAAATTTGCTTTAAAAATGAAATTACTAAAGTGTTAGCAAACCTCTTCATACTGTCAGAAATAATAATGTTTACAATCTACATGCCACAGAACAGCCAGAATTCACAAGTGGATTTGGAATATTATTTCCACTTCAGAAAGATACACATGAAACCCCTGAGCAGTTCATTTAGTTTAGATACTTGTCTGGAAGAAGACAGAGGTTTGTGCCTCCTGTCAAGCCATGCAGCTGCTGCCCACGGTGACCCCAGCCCATGACCAGGGCTCCCCATGTTTGTCCAAGAACAGCTTTCCTTGAAATCCAGTTAGGAATTTTAGCAGAAAAAATGACATTTTCTAAGAAATGGAATGTTTCATAGGACCATGTTTCAGATGAACTTCTGACAGACACAAGCACTGTTCCAAAAGCAGTTTCTCAGATTTCCTGCCCAGAAAGCCAGACTCCCAAGACTTGCTATTATAAGGAAATGAGCCAACAAGGATTGTCCAGAATCTCATGGTACCCAAGATCAGGAGATGTGGGGCATCTCATCATGCCATTGATCTAGAGCTGAGTCCTGCATCTTCTAGAAGCACAAATTATAAGGGCTACTACTGTCATCAGTGATTTACTCCATCATCTCTTCCCTGTCTCTACAAGCAAAACGAGGAACCTCCCCATTCCCACAGCACTAACTCTCTCCCTCTTCTCACTGCTACATAAATAACGCCTTTATCAAGTGCCTCATACAAGGATTCAATCCATTTCACATCTTTAGAATATTAATTTTTCACGCAAACAGGTTTACTGGATGTTTTACAAGAGCTTGCATGTGCACATTTCTGCTGAATGTGCACCTTGGCAGACTCAGTGTGCAGCCATCTCCCTGGCCCCAGTGCTCTGCTGCTTTTCCCTCTGCTCTGCTGCAAAACCCAATCATGGAATATCTCTGGAGTGGTGGTGTTAATACAACACATGTAATGTAAAATAATAAGTAATAACAATGAAATGCATGTTCCCTGGGACTCTGTGATAACTCCAGGTAAAAATAATGCCATAAACTGGGAATAGATTCATAAATAAAATTTGCACTCAGAAGGATGACTTGTTTACTTAGGCACAATGGAAAACAACACATTATAAACACCTGCATTAAAAAGAAATTATAACCACAACTTCACAATAAACAGTGAGGGATCATCATGTACCTGCCTTACACAAAGCAAACCACCAGACAAAGGGCTCTGAGGGTGATTTGTGGAGGGCATCTCCTCTCTTAGGTCCCTCTTTTGCACACGGAGTTCAGTGTGCTCCAAACCAAGCAGGAAACACTGACCTCCTTTAAAAGTCCAATCCTTTATTAGCAAGGCTCTTTTTATTCATTAGCCTTTGTGAGTACTGCCTGCAGCCCCAGTGTGCCAGCACATGCCCCACAATTTGGGTACTCACGTGTTACACTGAGGTGAATGAAGGGACTGGTCTTGTTCTCCCCGTTCTTTTCGTTGACTGCCTGGACATAGTAACCTCCTGCATCCATCAGTGACACCCCCAGGATCACCAGCTGGTTCTCCAGAGTGATGGCTCTGTTTAGGGGAGAGAAAGATCACACTGAAACCAGAGGAATGTTATCCACACAACACCTCAGACCTGACTGCCTAATATGATATTCACTGGTCATATAAATCAAGATGCTGTGGAATCAAAACCAGCCCCACTTCAAACACACTTACAGGAAATAAAGAGCTCAGATGCCTCTAGGCCTTTTCTCTATTTAGATCATATCAGATGCTTATGGTGACACACAGAAAAAGCTTCAACATGTGAAACAGGGGCAGTTTAAATGGCAACAAGAAGTTGTGCAAGAATCAGCAAATGACACTGGTGACTGCCAGGCTGCAAACTGCATCGTTGTGGGGTGACAACAATCCTGGCAATCATCAGGATGCTGCAAAGCCAGATTTGTTGAAAACCTCAACAAGTGAAAAACAGCCTATTAAAGAGTGACACTCAAGCAATAACACACAGTTCACTGAAATAAGTAAGTAAAAATCAAAGACAACAGAATGTCCAAAGGTAAACTTTCTGCATTTATGGCATCACTGGTTATCACCTCATCACAGACAAAGCCATGGGCTGTCTCAGATATCTGTGTGGATAGGGAGGGCTTTCCTTTTATCCACAGCAGGTAGGACAGCACAACCCTGTAGTTAACTGGTGTGGGCCTGAAGGAGTCAATAAATGTCATTGTCTAACACAAGCTTGTTCTCAGAGCTGCTGCATAACAAAGGGTTCTGTGGACTCCCTCACAGGCAGCTTTACACACTTGGCTACTTTACTTTTCACATGGTTTTTTCTCACCTATAAAGGATTAACCTAGAGGAAACATGTAAATATTCAAGGGTTTGAGGAACAGGACACAGGAAGTTCAAAAACCAGAAAGATAAAAGAAAATGTAAAGTTCCAGGGAAAGCCTGTGGAGCCAAGAGCTCATCTACTGCAGCATGGGACAGGCACAGACTTAGAAATCAGAGTGTAAGGCTGGGAGGAAGAAACTCCCTTCACTTCTAATACTTGATGAGAAGCCATGCTGAGTTCAGCTGTGCTATTTAGATGTATCACTGAGCATGAGGGCGAAACAACTTATAAAATTATTATACTGGAAGAAACAAATTCACACATAAATAGGCTCAAAAAGAATGAGCACTGAGTCAAAGCATTTGTGCACTAATCAGTCAATAATAAACACCCCTGCATTCTATCCTCCTGTTTTGCCATGGGGTGGTTACCCTTAGTAATAAACAACTATTTTGCTCTGAAAAAAACCAAAAAAACCAAGTAACAGTGGAAATCACACATTCCTAGTGAAGCAAACTGGTTTTTATATGTAGGGAGAGCATTAGAAATTACAGAGAGAACATGGCCATGTTCAAAGCCAGGCACTTAATTCATAACACTTCAATTTCCTGATGTGGATACAAAGAAACCTGAACTTCTGTAAAGCTATCATGGAATCAGAGAACCGTTTAGGCTGGAAAAGATCTTTAAGATCATGGAGTCCAGCCCTGCCAAAGCCACCACTGAACCATGTCCCCATGTGCCACATCCACACAGCTTTGAAATCCCACCAGGGATGGGGACTCCACCACAGCCCTGAGCAGCTGTGCCAGTGCTTGAGAATCCTTTTGGTGAAGAATTTTTCCCATATTTCCAACCTAAATCTTCCCTGGTGCAAATTTAGGCTGTTCCTTCTTGCCCTGTCAGGGAATTGCAGAGAAAGAAGGTCCCCCCTGAGCCTCCTTTTCTCCAGGATGAGCCCCCCCAGCTCCCTCAGTTGCTCCTCTGAGTTCTGCTCCAGACAATAATTACAAAAAACTGCTGAAAAATGAAGCTAAATGTTCAGGACTGAAATCAGTCAATCACCTAAAGATCCTGTTTGTAACATCTTCCTTGGCAACTTTTACTGTAAAAACTACTAAAAAATAATCACAGTACTTTTTTAAAATTCAACTACACTGTACTAGTTTAATTGATTTAGAAAATTAATCAAAGAAACTGTGATTTGTAGAGTGAGAATATAAAATACAATTAATAGGACATTTGACAGAGCAAATAAAGATAAAATTCCAGTGCAGTGCTAATAATTGAATATTACAAGACAATTATATTCACACTCATTTCTACATTAATTCTAAAGAAATCAGCATTAGAAAGATTCTTTCTAATACTGAAATATATTTCAGGCTGCTTTGATTCCAGGTAAAACTGCATCCAAAGTTTTAAACGTGATCCTTGAGTACTGCTGAGATGGACACAGTTACTATCTGCATTAAATTGGCTGAAAATTTTGACACTTAACCCATTAAGCTGATTATATAATAATCAAGAGAAAAGGAAATGAAAGTGTATTTATGAAGGAATTTGTTTAAAATGAAGTGGGCCTTTTTAATTTTGATACACAAATTTTTACTGGAGTGTGAGCAAAATGTAACATTTGTGAGTGAAAAGTAAGTAAATTTTAGAAAGTAATCTACATAAGCATAAAGTTTGATATTAATTTCTATAGGAAAAAAGAGTTAGAAGATAATGCAACTCCTGAAGGCAGCTCTTAGGGGTCATCAATTACATGGTCAAAGTTAAATTAAAACTCCCCAAATGAGTTATTGATATCTTAATAGTTCTGTGAAAAATGGAATGTCCTGAGTTCATTAAGTGAAGGCAGGTACAGAGCCAGGAGCCTGGGAGTTTTATTTACACCATGCATGAGCCCCGTGCACCAGGAAAATCAATCAGTCACATTTTAAGGACTCATTAATTCCAATGTTTCTAAACCATCCAAAGCTCCAGGCCCCAGTCCTTACCAGGGCTGCAGCCACTTTCTGCACAGCAGCTGCACAGAGCATCCAAAAATTGGCTTAACATTTTTTCTTGGGTTTATTGTTTGTTTTCATTGTCTGATATAACTTTTAAATTCTGACAGCACTACTCTGATGTTCCAAGGAAAATCTGATTCCTGGGTGCTCAGTTTAGCAGCACATTTGATGAAGATGACTGCAGCAAATGGAGTGGACCTGTCAGTAATTCATATCCAGTACAGAACTCATGAAAAATATAAATATTGCTTTTTTAAAGCAGTATCAAACTTAACTCCATCTAACATTTTCAAGACAGGAGCAACCAGCAAGCAAACTAAGCAGACTGATCCTCTGGGATTTCTTAAGCTAGGAAAGCAGCATTTTAAAGCACATTTTTTAATAGAAGAATTTTTAGGATTTCTCTGGAGCCCAACAGAAGCCTGCAGGGAATACAGCAAGCGGGGCTGGCAGTGGGAGGTGGTTGGAATGGTGCATCCAAGGTTGTCATGTCCAAAAACATCTCAGTGGCACCTTCACCACAGAAGGAGCTGGAGGCTGAACCAGGCTGATCTCAAAGCAAAGGCAAGGGAGCCCTTGAGATGACAAACTGTGTTTAGGGAATGCTGTTTAATCAAAAGTTATGGATGGAGGGGATGGGAAAAGGCAGCAGTGATGGACACAAATCATTTTACAGCCCATTATTCTAAACACCAGAATATAGAACAGCACCTTCTGAGGTTTCCTCACTGCAGTCAGAACTGAGCATGTGGATACCTGCTCTAAAGTAAAGCATCCCTGCCCATGGCACAGGGAATAGATCATCTTTATGGTCCCTTCCAACCCAAACCACTCTATGACTCTGTGCGCTCTGGAATTTTTAAGTGCACCTTTCACGTTGTCCAGATACTATAAACCCTGCTGCAAATAATCTCTAAGCTTGATCTGAAGCTTATGGGAATTCTTTTGTTAAGATCAATGGGACATGAATGAGACTTTTAGAAGTAAAGATAATTTTTCAAAGGGGATGCCATTCCTATGGCCTTTAAGAGAAAGGTTTTGGAGTTAATGCTGCAAAGGAACCCTTCAGTATCTCAAATAGGTGGATTTAGATAAATAATGGTTTTTATGGGAAAATACCAAAATCTACTGTACAAGTGGATAATTCCCCAAAGTTAGATATTTGTTATGTTATTAGTCTACCAGATTACACAAAAAGTAGATAATACTGGGTTATAAAAACATAAAATGAAAATCAGAGTAACCTGATTAGGCTCTCTCTCAGAAGGCACCATCTGCTCCTGAGCCAGTGTGCAATATTTTAGTACAAAGGCCTTCATAAAGCCTCTTTTCCAATATTACCTCCAGCTAACATGATTATTAATCCCTCTACACCAGATATTTTTTACTGGAGAGCTTCTGTTCCCCGTTCAAAAACTTCTGTCCACACTACACAGCAAGGCCCAACCTCCCCATGCCCCAGACACCAAGGAATACCAGTGATGCTGCCAGAAAAGGGAGAGATTATGGAGTAATAACAAAATAATTACTGCAACATTTCCCCCATGGGTTTCCCCTCTTGGAAGAGCAGGGATGTGCTGCAGTTGCACACACAGCTGTTCCAGGGGATCTCTGTGCATGCACAGCTTAACCCAGGCAGCACTTCACCACCCTCATGGCTCCCGGCACTGAGAAGGAATTATTAATCAAAATTATTTAAATATACATCTCTCACAAACAGCTTGTGTTTCTCAGGACTCAATCACAGAGAAAAATATTTGTGTTTGTGCTACAGAGCAGCATCTCCACAGGGACAGAGCACCAAGAGCTGTGACTGCAGTTTCACAGGATATTATTCAGGTTCCATGTACATTGTTACTGCAAATCAGCCATCTATTAATAAAAGTTTTATACTTACACAGACACTGGATATTAAGTAAAACTAGACTGAATCTAGAATCAGGGCAGTTCATATATTGCTTCTCTAGCTATGCCAGGGCACAACACGTGTTTCTGGGAAGTGACTGGGATTTCTAGTCATGGAAACATCCCAAGTTTACAAAAGAATAACCAAGACAGTCCTAATGACCATGCAGAGGACAAACACTACCATGAAATAAAGGACAACCAGCTATTGATGGCTTTAGCAGATGAATTTCCAGGAGGAATGGAGATAAAATACAGAGTTTGCACATTTTATAATTGATTTCTCTGTTCTCTGGTTTTGGGGCTTG